GTTTTCTATTGTCTCTGATATTTTCCCTTGACAAAAGACCTTGCTCTCCCTTTGGTCGCCTTACTCCGTTTTCCATGTGCATACTTTTGGGATTTTCTTCTGGTCCCAACCCTCAATCGTTTATGCTTTATAAGGCTCTTTACTCCACTAATGCAACTGTAAACAATCGGTTTTCTAATAGTGGACACGTATCCTGAGACTCTTTTTCATGCCCATAGTCCTGCTCTTTTTCTGGGCTCTCCAAATTCTGCTGAGGCTGCAGCAGTTCCTCCTCATTTTCTGCTTCCAAATCTTTATTCCACGGGCTATCAAAGGCTTTTTTAAACGCTTCCTTCACAGCTCGTTGTACCTTGTCAAAGAGGAATTTTTTTAATTGTTCCACTGTTAAAAGAATCGATCTCTGTATTTTCTAAGTCCCATTCGGTTTCCTCTGTTGCAAGTCCCTTAGTTTCCCCTTCTACCGCCATTTTCTAATCTTTTGTTGTTGTTGTTGTTCAGTCGCAGTCGAGTCCGACTCTTCGCGACCCCATGGACCAGATCACGCCAGGCCTTCCTGTCTTCCGCCGTCCTCTGAAGTTGGCTCAATTTCATGTTCATTGCATCTATGACACTGTCTAACCATCTCATCCTTTGCCGTCCCCGTCTTCTTTGACCTTCAATCTTTCCCAGCATCAGGGTCTTCTCCAGTGAGTGCTCCCTTCTCATTTGGTGGCCAAAGTATTTGAGCTTCAGTTTCATTATCTGGCCTTCTAATCTTTACTCCTTCTCTTTTCTTAGCCGTTTTTACTTCCCAAATTGGAGATAACTGTAGGGGGGCATTTGGGGGGGGGTCTTCACCATTTATAACCAGATATATGTGTACTCACAATACTGTTGCTGTTGAATTGGGTGGTCACGACTAATGCAGAACTTGACGGCCATGTTCTGCTCCATTTCTTGCTTCTGCATCGAGACAAATTGCTCTCACCGCCGCAAACCGCCGTCCGTGGGGTGGCCGAAAGAGTCTCTTGCTGCCCAAGCTCCCTCCAAGAGTTTGGGTGAGTCCCCGCAAGGTCGCATGGACCGGGGAACTCCAAAAAAAGCAAAAAAAGGACGAGTGAGCTTGGGAGCATCCCGATCTGCACCCGCGTCGTCGTGCCATTGACCTGGAAGTTGGCAAGTAAAGATTTTGATGGGACTAAAGGGATTCTGGCCCTGACCTGGATAGCCCAGACAACCCTGATCTCGTCAGATCTCAGAAGCTAAGCAGGGCTGACCCTGGCAAGTACTTGGGTGGGAGACCTCCAAGGCAGTCCAGGGTCATGATGTGGGGACAGACAATGGCAAACCACCTCTGAATGTCTCTTGCCTTGAAAACCCCATGGGGTTGCCTTAAGTCAGCTGTGGCTTGAGGGCAAAATCAAGGGGCTTCTGAGAGATGCTTTACAGAAAAGGGAAATGGTAGAGGGGACCAGTTGCCAGGAATCCAAGCGCAAACCATGTGCAGATTTATGACAGCACACCAAAACAATCGTGCAGGGTGCTTCTGTGTATGTTTATGACTTTCTGGGTGTGTTCACACGGGGCTTTCTGCCGGCATAAACTGCACCGGTTCCAACCGGTGCAGTTTATGCCGGCATAAACTGCACCGGTTCCAACCGGTGCAGTTTATGCCGGCATAAACTGCACCGGTTCCAACCGGTGCAGTTTATGCCGGCATAAACTGCACCGGTTCCAACCGGTGCAGTTTATGCCGGCATAAACTGCACCGGTTCCAACCGGTGCAGTTTATGCCGGCATAAACTGCACCGGTTCCAACCGGTGCAGTTTATGCCGGCATAAACTGCACCGGTTCCAACCGGTGCAGTTTATGCCGGCATAAACTGCACCGGTTCCAACCGGTGCAGTTTATGCCGGCATAAACTGCACCGGTTCCAACCGGTGCAGTTTATGCCGGCATAAACTGCACCGGTTCCAACCGGTGCAGTTTATGCCGGCATAAACTGCACCGGTTCCAACCGGTGCAGTTTATGCCGGCATAAACTGCACCGGTTCCAACCGGTGCAGTTTATGCCGGCATAAACTGCACCGGTTCCAACCGGTGCAGTTTATGCCGGCATAAACTGCACCGGTTCCAACCGGTGCAGTTTATGCCGGCATAAACTGCACCGGTTCCAACCGGTGCAGTTTATGCCGGCATAAACTGCACCGGTTGGAACCGGCACCCTAACCGATGTAAAGCCCCCGTCTGAACGCACCCACTGTGAGACTTCATGTGTTCTATTTCCTAATAAAGGACTCACAACAACCAGAGTCTGGGTTATTAATCAGTGTGTGTCAGCTATTAGTAGGGCGAATTTGTATCATTTCAGTTGCTAGTTTATAGTGGCAGCTGCTGCCTGACCTGCACCAGGCAAGGGCTACCCCTCACTTGGGACCAGGGTGAGTCCATCGACCCACCGGGACTTTTCCCGGTGGCCTTAATGCCCCGGCACTGATGCAGTTCCCGTTTCTTTTCTGCAGGCATGAATAACCGGGAGGTCCTGGAGCAGGTTGAACGAGGGTACCGCATGCAGTGCCCAGGGAACTGCCCACTCTCGTTGCACGAGTTGATGGTGCAGTGCTGGAAGAAGGAGCCTGAGGAGCGGCCCACCTTTGAATACCTCCAGTCCTTTCTTGAAGACTATTTTACTGCCACAGAGCCTCAGTATCAGCCGGGTGACAACCAATAATGATTGCCAGGGATGTCAGCTGGAACTCTTGACCACAGGCAGCCCACTACGGCCCCCAGTGGGCCTGTGGCAACTTGGGACTGTCCATACAAAGCAACAACGCCTTCCCACTCTAAAGTGTGTGTGGGGGGTGGCTCTCTTTTTGTACAACTGGGTTGAACTCCGAGGGGTTTTTTAATTATTCTACTTGGGGGAGGGTTTTTTTGGGGGGGTTGTGAATTTGTGTTTTAAATTCTGCCTCTTCCTGGGTGACTGCCATGCCAGTTTTGGGAGAATGACACACCAAGGTTAGGATCTGCAAGGAGAGAAAGCAGGTTTTGTATAGTGTGCCCTTTCATCACCTGCTTTCTCCTGCCCCAGTCCACACCCACCCTTCTGGAAGGTGGCGATGAGTACTCAACAGGGACTTCTCTTTTCCTGTCCTTTTGGGTCACCCCTGATGTTCCCACCTCCCTGCTTATAGCTACCTCCTCTGCCACATCTGTGAGCCATCTCGTGTGGTCCTTTGGCTCATTGACATTTGTGGCTTGAGGGCACCTATGTCAGCAGAGCTTAGCTCCCAGCGTCACAGTCATGAGGGCTGCCAATCTTGAGGTGGTGGCTGGAAATCTCCCAGAAGTACAACTGACCTCCAGGCTACAGAGATCAGTTCCCCTGGAGAAAATGGCTGCTTTGGAGGAGGGCTCTCCCCTCATCAAAGCCCATCCTCACCAGGCTCCACCCCCCAAAATCTCTAGGAGTTCCGTAACTCAGAGCCGGCAACCCTAGCAGTGGTCTGAATGAACGGCAACGTGCAACGTGCCTCCCATGCATGCTGGCACAGAAGGCTTCCTTGGATGCTGAGTACTGGGCACGGAACCTAGGACCTACCACATGTAAGGCAGCTTCTCTTAACCCTGAGCCACAGCTCCACCTCTGCCTAATTTACGAACTTGAAGATCAAGGCAGGAGGCCGCTTACATTTTTGAACAAAAATGAACATTGTAATTCAGGAATTCTCCTCTTTTCCATATTTTCTGTTCCTTTTTGACCCCTTCCCTCCCAGCTCCACCTGAGTTACCTGCATTTGTTATCCCACCTTAGTTATCACTCACCAGAACCCACCGCTGGCTCAAAAAAATCTGTCTATCTGATAATCACATATTGTATCCTGCTCTTGCTGTGAGGAGCTCAGGGCAGCATGCATGATTCTCTCCACTGTATCCTTACAGCCTCGCAGTGTGCTCGATGAGGCTGAAAATGGGCCCAAGGCCACCCACCGAACATCCTGGCAGGGCATGCATTTGAACCCAGATCTCCCCAGTCCTACGTACTGGGTGGTTTGTATTCTGTGGACCTATGAAGCAAGTCCCGAGCCAGGCACTGCCCCTGATTCAAAGCATCTTTGTCTCCCTGCCTCAACCCATAAACCTGACAAGGGGCCTAAATATTTTGCTACAGATCATTTTGTGTTTCAGTCCTTCCTCTCCAGTTGTTTCTCTCTCACACACCCACACCTCTGTGTTTCTTAACCAGAGCCGATATTATTAAAGCCATAATATGACAGCTGCATGCATGTTATGAGAGTGGACAGTGGTGCAAAAAACACAGCTTAAATTGGGAAGGGAGGGAGTTATGGGTAACTCAAAGAAGGACCAGGGAAGGAGACTTTGGGTGATCCTGCATTGGCTTTTCCCTCCACTGTTTTGCGAAACCCACGGTGAAACAGAAATTCCCCTCTGCATTGCATGCTGCTGTCACTTTCTTTGATCATCAGGTTTTATGGTACCTTCTGCACAAGGCTTTTTTTGTAGAAAAAGCCCAGCAGGAACGCATTAGCATAATAGGCCACACCCAACAGCAGAAACCAAGCCTCAAAAATAAAGGGAAAGGACTGTACGCGGCAAACGTCCCACAGCTAAATGGGACCCCAAGCTCAGTCTTTTCTCAAATCAGAGGCCTCGGTCAGCGAGCATTGCGAAGCAAGGCATTGCAGTGAACAGTTAGTGGGGAAGCACAGCAGAGGCATCTAGTGGTGAAATTCGAAACTGCAAGAGAAACCATTTTTGACACAAAATCTATGCACTCAAATACCACAACAGCAGGGCTTTTGGCAAGGGAGGGGCACGAAGGGGAGGGGCAGACTTGGAAGCCAGCCGGAACTTTGTTCCTGTGCGTTCCTGCCCCAAAATAGCCATGCTTCTGCATAGATTTATGGCCATGCAGGGGTGACTTTGCAGTCAGTATGGCATTGCCCCGAGGTATTTGAATGTAGTTTTGAGCTGCACCTTTTCTTCAGTGTTGAGGAAAAGTGGAGCAAATGCTAGTTACAGAATTGCCCTTTGTCTGAGAAGGGAATGGGAGCTGCTGTGTATCTATTGTTATAGTCATGTCTTTTGATAATGGTGTCCCTTAAAGATGTGGTATGCAGACTCATATGTCCTAACTCTGATGAAAGGAAGAAAGCCAAGTCTACATTAGGATTCCCCAACTTCATATTTGATACTTCTGGAGAGTATTTGGAAGGGAGAGAAGTGTCTTTCTTTCATTTACACATGCTTAAGTCCAATGGCCATCAATCCATGGCCAGGTGGGTTGCAGAACCCCACCTCTTGGATTGTGAGCCCCTATACAGCTGTCATTTTTTGCTGCGTTGGGAAAAAACGTGCTTTTGGTGTTCATGCGCACAAAGCAAGGGGATTATCTGCAGAGGGTGGAGTTTGGGACAGATGTCCCATCACTTTCAGATGGGAATCTAGGAATTTCCTCCAAGTCTCTATGATGAAGACGATAAAGACAGGAAAATTCCCAGAGTGTCATTATGAAGACTATTTTCAGTCAATTTTAATCTCCTGCTCTTCAGTTTTTCAAGGGTGGGAGATTGGGGCTGAGGGCAGGGTTTACCTGCTGCATGCGGGCAAATGTCATGCCTACTTCCTGTTGTGTGCTGGAGCTCGTGGGGTGGGTTAAAGGTGGGTCTTGGGTCTAGAAAGGCTGAAAGACCAGAGCCATTGGCTTAACCAGTATAGGAGGCAGTAGCTGGATTTTGCTTTGATCCATCACGGCATTGCTTCTGCCTTGATCATTGGGGAGGAGGAGATATTCTTTTGTTTACACATATTTAATCCAGTGGTCTTCTAGCCAATGATTTGGACCCTTCAGGTGTCTTGCATATTAGGTTGGGAGCCCCTCTAGAGTTAACACTTTTTTGTTACCTTTTGGAAAGACCTGCTTCTGGTGCACATGCATGAAAAGCAAGGGTGTCCTGGCTCCTGCTTCTCTTTTCACACATGCTGAAAGGAGTAACAAGTTGGTAAGGTGAGAGTCACTCTTGCTGGAACGGGCTCCTCCGTGGCTCAGATCTTGGCTTGCATATCACTGATGCTTGGCTTCTGTTTCCTGGCCCTAGTTCTCTTGGTCCTGGCTGGGACACCAGTAGGGGCATAACTATTGCTCCCACTCTTCCTGTCACAACTATAAGGTCCCATGATTTCCTGTCACATGCCTATACTTCTGTGGGTCTGGAAAGGTGGAAAGCCATTGCATTGGGCAACAGTATTGTGATCCTGGTTTAGGGAAGTCAGAATATCCTAGAATTCATTTCTGCATTAAGAGGTCATCCTATCTAAGCGGCTTGAGGAGGATCAAAGTAGGCCCTACAACATTCTGGAAAAGTATACTGTGAACATGCATGAAGCCACCTTATAGTGAATCAGTCCATCAAGGTCAGTATTGTCTACTCGGATTGGCAGTGGCACTCCAGGATCTCAGGTAGAGGTCTTTCGTATCACCTGTAGCCTGGTCCTTTTAACTGGAGATGCCAGGCATTGAACCTGGGACCTTATTCATGTAAGGCAGAGGCTCTTCCACTGAGCCACAGCCTCTCCCCCCCCCTCCCATGTGCCGCAATAGGTCCAGACTCAGAGTGGGCCCTAGATATAATGTTCTCCAGTGTCTCTTACACACACATGCATACACACAGTGGAAGAAGTGATGCATAACTAGGGTTGCCAAGTCTACTTACCTTGGCGGTGGGGGAGCCTTGCCGGGTTCAGGGAGCTCTCCAGCAATGCGCACACAATGTGCGTGCGCACGCCGCCAGCACATCACAAGAAGTGACGCACTACGTCACTCACATTGAGGGCGTGGCCACAATCATCGGAGGGAAAACCATAGAGTTTTCCCTCTGACGATCGGAGCCACGCCCCCAACGTGAGCCACGCTGTGCTTCAGGGGGCGGAGTTCCCCCCGGGGCCCAATTCCGCAGCGGCGGAAATCGGGCCTCCAAAGCGGGGGTTTACCCGCCCCCCGCCCCCACTTGGCGGCCCTATGCTTAACTCTTTAGTCTCATAAGCCCTGTTGGTACTGGCATGGTTGTGTGCTCCCCTCTCTCCAAGTTCCTCTGCCAGCATAAAATGAGAAATTTCCCCAGTCTCTGCTGCAACCTCCTTTTCCTGGTAGTAGTGGATGTTCAATTATGCCCTCCGCTGGGCCATGGGCCCTCAGCAGCTGCCCCACTAATGCCAACCCTGGACACCAGGCCTGATACTGGCCTTCCTTAAGCAGAATGCTGTAATCACATTTCCCATGGGGGGGGGGGTGTTGGTTTTATTTCCAAAGTTTTTCTCCATGTTTCCCCCCCCCCCAGACCACCTTTGTACTAGTCTTAACACAAGAAAAACTCGGTGAGAGGAACAAAGACCAGCAAATGACGCTGTGTGTTATGGAGGAGATCAAACAATGCAGCTCATAAGCAAAGATAGAACAAGAAAGCCTAATATTTGAACAGTAGGTATGCAAGTAGGGGGTTACCCATTTTGCATGTGGCCATTTTCTCAACATTAGACTTGCCAAGTCCCCCCGGGGGGCGGGGAAAACCCTGCCCGAGAGGCCCGTTACCCACCGCCGGTGGATCGGGCCCCGGGGGGAACCCCACCCCCAAAGCACGTGACATGCCCGGTGTCAGCACCTCACCCGGAAGTGACGCAATCACGTCAGGCACGTTGGGGGCGAGGCCACAATCATCCAAGGGAAAACTCCCTGAACAAGACTGGACTCCCCCGCTCTTCAACAGGTGAGGACTTGGCAACCCTACTCAACATATAGACCTTACCTAAGCCCCAAGAGGGTATAGCAAGCAGCTAGCAATGTGCTGAAGAGCTCACATAGTCTGAGGTCCTGGTGGCAAT